CCGGGCTCGGGGGAGCGGGGCCGCTCGGGCCGGGCTCGGGGGGACCGGGGCCGCTCGGGCCGGGCTCGGGGGGAGCGGGGCCGCTCGGGCCGGGCTCGGGGGAGCGGGGCCGCTCGGGCCGGGCTCGGGGGGACCGGGACCGCTCGGGCCGGGGTCCGGGGGACCGGGACCGCTCGGGCCGGGCTCGGGGGACCGGGACCGCTCGGGCCGGGCTCGGGGGACCGGGGCCGCTCGGGCCGGGCTCGGGGGGAGCGGGGCCGCTCGGGCCGGGCTCGGGGGGAGCGGGGCCGCTCGGGCCGGGCTCGGGGGAGCGGGGCCGCCCCGCTCACAGGGCGAGCAGCGAGGGCGAGCTCAGGGACTCCGAGGACCGGTCGCTGCTGCCGCTCCGCTGGTGCGAGGCTCCACACGTGGCTCCCTCTGGGTGGGTGAACACAAACGCGGGCGTGGCGTTAGGGGGTCCCGCGGGGACCCCGGGCGGGAGGCAGCAGCCGGGGAAGGGACCCTGCGGGCCCTGCAGCGGCGCCGGGGGCACGAAGGCGGCGGGCCCCGCCTGGCCCGGGCTGCTCACCTCCGGTGCGGCGGGGCCGCGGGGACCCCCGGCGGCGCCGATGTCCTCGAAGGCGGCGGCGGCGGCGGCTTTGCAGGCGGGCGCGTGGGCCACCAGCACGAACTCCAGGCGCTCCTTCTCCTTGCGCAGCTCCGCGATCTCCGACTCCAGCTCCGCCTTCTCCTCCTCCAGCTGGTCCGTCTCCTGCCGGGGCGGCGGATAACGGCGTCAGGCGCGGGGGGACGCGCCCCGGGGTCCCCCGGTATCGCCCAGGTGTCCCCCGGTCCCTAAGTGTCCCCAGGTGTCCTCCGGGATCCTCCGGGGTTCCCCAGGTGTCCCCCGGGATCCTCCAGGATCATCTGGTATCCCCCCGGTGTTTCCCCGGTGCTCCCCGGTGTCCCCCAAGTGTCCCTAAGTGTCCCCCCGGTGTCCTCTAGGATCCTCCGGGATCCTCCGGTGTCCCCCCGGTGTCCCCCCGGTGTCCCCCGGTGCTGTCCCCAGGCCAGGGACATCCCTGGGTTGTCCCCAAGCCTGGTGACACCTCTGGGTGTCCGTCTGTCCCCTCTGGTGTCCCCAAGCCTGGGGACATCCCTGGACAAAGCCACCCTCGGGTGGGGACAAAGCCACCCTCGGGTGGGGACAGGGCCACCCTCGGGTGGGGACAGGGCCACCCTTGGGTGCTGGGGACAGGGAGACCCTCGGGTGGGGACAGGGTCACCCTCGGGAGGGCACAAAGCCACCCCGGGTGGGGACAGGGCCAGCCCCCGGTATCCCCGGTGTCCCTGTGTCCCGGTGTCCCCGTGTCCCGGTTTCCCGGGTGTCCCGGTGTCCCGGGTGTCCCGGTGTCCCTGTGTCCCGGTGTCCCTGTGTCCCTGTGTCCCCGGTGTCCCTGTGTCCCGCTGTCCCGGTGTCCCGGTATCCCCGGTGTCCCGGGTGTCCCGGTTTCCCGGGTGTCCCGGTGTCCCCGTGTCCCTGTGTCCCCGGTGTCCCTGTGTCCCGCTGTCCCGGTGTCCCGGTATCCCCGGTGTCCCGGTTTCCCGGTTTCCCGGGTGTCCCGGTGTCCCCGTGTCCCGGTATCCCCGGTGTCCCGGTTTCCCGGGTGTCCCGGTGTCCCGGTATCCCCGGTGTCCCGGTTTCCCGGGTGTCCCGGTGTCCCGGTGTCCCGCACGCGCTCACCGCCTGCAGCCGGTCCGTCAGCTCCCGGCGCCGGTTCCGGCATTTGGCCGCCGCCAGTTTGTTCCTCTCCCGCCGCACGCGGCGCTTCTCCTCCTCCTCCGGTGTCAGCTGCGAGCGAGCCGAGCGCCCGGTGTCACCGCGGTGCCACCTCCCGGTGTCACGCCGGTGTCACCTCCCTCCCGGTGTCACCTCCCGGTGTCACCCCCCGGCCCCCAACTCCCACCGCCTTCCTCCCGTTACGGGTGAGGGTGGCGGTGGTGGCACCGAGAGTGGTGTCCCCGAGGTGCCACCAAGGTGCCAGCACACCTGGGCTGTCCCTCAGTCTCCTGCCACTCACGGTGTCCCCAAGGCGTCACCACCCGGGCTATCCCGAGGTGCCACCACTCGCGGTGTCCCCAAGGCGTCACCACCCGGGCTATCCCAGGTGCCACCATTCACGATATCCCCAAAGTGCCACCACTCGGGCTGTCCCTCAATCTCCTGCCACTCACGGTGTCCCCAAGGTGTCACCACCCGGGCTATCCCCGAGGTGCCACCATTCACGATGTCCCCAGAGTGCCACCACTCTGGCTGTCCCTCAACCTCCTGCCACTCAGCATGTCCCCAAGGTGTCACCACCCGGGCTATCCCTAGGTGCCACCATTCACAATGTCCCCAAAGTGCCACCACTCTGGCTGTCCCTCAATCTCCTGCCACTCACGGTGTCCCCAAGGCGTCACCACCCGGGCTATTCCCGAGGTGCCACCATTCACAATGTCCCCAAAGTGCCACCACTCTGGCTGTCCCTCAGTCTCCTGCCACTCACGGTGTCCCCAAGGCGTCACCACCCGAGCTGTCCCGAAGGTGCCACCACTCACGATATCCCCAAGGTGCCACCACCTGGGGTGTCCCTCAATCTGTCACTGCTCATGATGTCCCCAAGGTGCCACCACCCGGGCTATCCCCAGGTGCCACCGCTCGCGGTGTCCCCGAGGTGCCACCACCCGGGCTATCCCCAGGTGCCACCACCCGGGCTATCCCCGAGGTGCCACCACTCACGGTGTCCCCGCGGTGCCCCCCACCGCCCGCCGCCCCCTCTCACCGTCTCGTCGCGGCCGCGGCGGGGCCGCGCTCGGGCCGGCCGGGCGGGCGCCGGGCCCGGGGGTCCCGCGAAGGCGCCGAGCCCCGGCGCGGAGTAGCTGGGCCCGGGGAGGTCGTAGGGGTCGAGCGGCGGCGGCGGCGGCGGCGGCTGCGCCATGGGCGCCCCCGGGGCCACCGAGGCGATGAGCGTGGGCTGCACCAGCCACTGCAGGTCCTGGCTGCTGGTGATGGCCGTCACCGTGGGCACGAAGGAGCCGGGCATGTCCCCCAGGCCGCCGCACTCCTGCGGGGGACGCGGTCAGAGGCGACGCGGCGACAGTGGCGATAGTGGCGATAGTGGCGGTAGTGGCGGGGATACCCCCCGGGAGGGGCTGGGTGGGCAGTGGGTGACAGCGGGGACACACTGGGGTGACAGCGGGGTGACAGCGGGGAGACACTGGGGAGACACTGGGGGGACACTGGGGGGACAGCGGGGTGACAGCGAGGTGACAGCGAGGTGACAGTGGCGATAGTGGCCGCGACAGTGGCGATAGTGGCGGGGATACCCCCCGGGAGGGGCTGGGTGGGCAGCGGGTGACAGCGGGGTGACACTGGGGAGACACTGGGGGGACACTGGGGGGACAGCAGGGTGACAGCGGGGTGACACTGGGGTGACAGTGGCGGGGATATCCCCCGGGAGGGGCTGGGTGGACACTGGGGGGCACTGGGGTGACAGTGGGGTGACAGTGGGGTGACAGCGGGGTGACATTGCGGGGACAGCGAGGTGATACTGGGGTGACACTGGGGTCACACCGCGGGAAAAGCGAAGTGACACTGGGGTGACATCGGGGTGACACTGGGGTGGCACTGGGGTGACATCGCAGGAAAAGCGAGGTGACACAGGGGGGACAGCAGTGGGGACAACCCCGAGAGGGGCTGGGTGGGCAGCGGGGTGACAGCGGGGTGACACTGGGGTGACACTGGGGGGACAGCGAGGTGACACTGGGGTGACAGCGGGGTGTCACCGGGGTGCAGGTGGCATTGTCACCCCCCCAGCGCGGTGCCTCGGCCTTGGGGACAGCGCTGTCCCCAGCTGGTGGCACTGGGGTGGCACTGGGGTGCGCCCCCGGCTCATGCCCCTCCTCATCCTCATCATCCTCACCCTGCCGCGCACCCACGGGTGACACCCGCACCTCCCTGCCACCCACGGGTGACACCCTCGCGTCCTGGCCACCCACGGGTGACACCCTCGCGTCCTGGCTCCCCCAGACCCACCTCAGCCCAATGCGGGGGGGAGGGGTCGCAGCCCCCTCCCCAAAAAAACCCCTCCCGTGTCCCCCCCCTCCCCCGAACTCGCGTGGGAGGCACCCACGGGCGCCGGGCGGACACCGGGGGTCCCCAGGGGACACCGCCACCCCCGGGGTAGGGGGGGGGACACCGGATCCCCCCTCCCCCATCCCGGGGGTCTCCCCCTCGCTGCCGGAGGGGGCGTGGCCATCATTTCGGGGGGGCGTGGCCATCATTTCGGGGGGCGTGGCCTCGCCGCCGCTTTAACGCCGCGCGTGGGCGTGGCTTCCCGCAGAGTGGGCGTGGCCTCGGCGGAGTGGGCGTGGCCCTTCCTCCCGTCTCCCGTGGCAACAACGGGGGGCGGGGGACACCCCAAAAATAACCCGCGCGCTCCGCGTGCGTGCGTGCCGCGTCACCGGCGGCGACGTCACCGCGCGCGCTTACGCACGGCCCCACCCCCTCCCCCCGTTCCAGCCGCCCCCCTCCGTTCCCGGCCGTTCCCCCCTCGGTTCCCCCCCGGTTCTTCCCGCCCCCAGCCCCGCTAAAGCGGCGCTCACCTGCGCGGCCCCGGCGGCCGCGGGGCTCCCGAAGGAGTCGAGCGGCGACAGGTACTGGGACTCGGCCGAGGGCGAGGAGCTGCAGCGGGACCCCGAGTCGTAGTCCCCGGGGAAGCCCTGGAACATGGCCCCGGGGCCGCGGGGGCCGCCCCGCCGCGACAAGGCTGCGGGGTCACGCCGCCGCCGGCATCACGGGCGCGGCCGGGATGCTCCGGTGCGTGCGGGAAGAGCGCGCGGGGGAAAGCCCGGTGGGGTCTGCGGTGAGTCCCGGGGAGGCTCCGGTCGGTCGGCGGGAGCGCCCGCCCGCTGTTAGAGACGCCGGTGTGTCCGCGCAGGGCTCCGGTGTAACGTCCCGGTGAGCGGCTGCGAGCTCCGGTGTATCCGTGCCGGGCTCCGGCGCGGCTCGGCGGGTCTCGGTTGTGTCGGTAGCGAACGCCGCTGTGCCCGTCCCGAGCTCCGGTTGCGCGCGCTGTAAGCTCCGGTACGTCCGTGCCGGCTCCCGGTTTGCCGCTCCGAAGCCCCGCCGCGCCCTTTACGCGCCGCGGTCCATCCGTCCCGGGCTCCGGTTGCTCGGTACAAACTCCCGCCGGGCTCCAAAGTTCTCCGGTAACAAAGCCCCCCTCCCGGTGCCAAGCTCCGCTTCTCCGCTACAATCCCCGCCACGTCCGTCCCACAAAGTTCCGCTCGGCCGCCGCCAGCTCCGGTAAAAAAAAAAGAAATCCCTCGCCGGGCTCCGGCACGTCCGCTCCGAGCCCCGGTGGCGCTCCCGCCGCTGCCCCGGTCTCCGGTTTTATGAATGAACGGCTCGCGGCAGCCCCGCCGCTTTATACGGCGGGGCCCCGCCCCCTCGCGCTGACGTCACGGCAGCCGCCGCCGCTTCCCCGGGACCACCGGGACCCTCCCGGGCCTCCGAACCGCCGCGGGCGCGGTCGCCGTCGCCGTTTGAGGCTCCGGGAGCCGCCGGCGCCGTTAAGAGGCGGCGGGGAGGGCCGGGAGCGGGGGGGATCCCCCGGGCCCGCCCCCCGGAGTTCCTGTGACGCAATTAGCCATATATGGGCTTGTCTGCAGTGTTTGTTTGGTATCCTAGCAATGACGTCACAGGGATTCCCTCCGCCGCCGCCGCCGCCGCCGCCGCCGCCGCCGCCGCCGCCGCCCGGGCGCGTATTAATAGAAACGGGACCGGCCGCGGTTCTAGAAACGGCCCGAAGCCTCCGGGATAACCGGGAACGGGGCCGGGATACCCCGGGAATGGACCGGGAACGGGAACGGGACACCCGGAATGGACCGGGACACCGGGGATGGAACCGGGATAACCCCGAACCCTCCGGGACAACCGAGAACGGGATCCCCGGGAATGGACCGGGATAGCCCGGGAATGGACCGGGACCCCCGAACGCTCCGGGACAACCGGGATAACCGGGAACGGAACCGGGATACCCCGAACCCTCCGGGACAGCCGGGACCGGCATCCCCGGGAATGGACCGGGACACCGGTAATGGACCGGGACACCGGGAACGGGAACGGGACACCGGGAATGGACAGGGACACCGGGAACGGAACCGGGATACCCCGAACCCTCCGGGACAACCGGGAACGGAACCGGGATACCCAGAACCCTCCCGGACAACCGGGGCAACCGGGGCCGGGACCCCGGCAATGGACCGGGACACCGGGAATGGACCGGGACCCCCGAGAATGGACCGGGACAACCGGGAACGGGACCCCCGGGAAGGAGTGGGATTCCCCGAACCCTCCGGGACAATCGGGGCCGGGACCCCCGGGAATGGACCGGGACCCCCGAGAATGGACCGGGACAACCGGGAACGGGACCCCCGGGAATGGAATGGGATTCCCCGAACCCTCCGGGACAATCGGGGCCGAGACTCCCGGGAATGGACCGGGACCCCCGAGAATGGACCGGGACAACTGGGAACGGGACCGGGACCCCCCGAACCCTCCGGGACAACCGGGAACGGGACTGGGAACCCCCCGAGAACCAACCGGTACCTCCGGTTCCCGGTCCCGGGAACCCGCCGAGAGCCCGGAGAGCCTCCCCCGCACCGGTAACACCGCGCCCCGCCCCGGGGATCCCCGGTATCCCCCGCCCCCGCCGGGGCGTCTCCCGGGCTTCCCCCGGTGACTGCCGGGATCCCGCCGGTGATCTCCGCGTTTCCGCCACCGGGATCCCCCGGCGTCCTCCAGGAGCCCCCGGGACCTCCGGTAATCCCCCCCGGGATCCCTCCCGGTACCTCCGGGACCTCTCCCGGGACATCCCGGTAACCCCTCGAGCACCGTCCCGGGCTGGAGCTGTCGCCGGTACTGGAGCGGTGGGAACTCCACCCCGGGGGTCACCGGCACCGGGGCAAAGCGACCCCCGCTCCCCCGCCACCACCGGGGGTCACCGGGACCGGGCTGACGCTCGGATCCCGGCACCAGCGTGCGCCGGCCCCGTTCCCCACGGTGCCGGGAGGTTCGGGACGGGGGTCCGGAGGGTCCCGGTGCCTTGGCAGCGCCGGGACGGGCACCGGGGGCTGATGTCAGCGGCGGGAACCGGCGCTGAGTCACGGCGGGACCGTGGGGAGCGGCGGGGGGGCGCTTCCCACGCCCCCGGTTCACGCGTTCATTCATCCGCGCGGGCCCCGCCCCCTCCGGTGTCCCCGGCGTGTCCCGGGAGTCCCGGCCCGGGGTCCCGTTCGGGCTCCCTGCGGTGTCCCGGGGCTCCCGTTCTCGGTGTTCCGGGGGTCCCGTTCCCGGTGTTCCGGGGGTCCCTGTCCCGTTCCCGGGGTCCCGGGGGGTCCCTGTCCCGTTCCCGGTGTCCCGGAGGTCCCGGGGGTCCCGTTCTCGGTGTTCCGGGGGTCCCTGTCCCGTTCCCGGGGTCCCGGGGGGTTCGTAGCCCCGTTCCCGAGGTCCCGGTCCATTCCCGGGGGGTCTCAACGGGTTCTCGGGGGCTCCAGCCCCGTTCCAGGGCTCTCGGGGGTCCCGGTCCATTCCCGGTGTCCCGTTCCCGGTGTTCCGGGGGTCCCGGTGTCCCGGGGCTCCCGTTCCCGGTGCTCTGGGGGTCCCGGGGGTCCCGTTCCCGGTATTCCAGGGGTTCCGGGGCTCCCTGTCCCGTTCCCGGGGTCCCGGGGGTCCCGGGGGGTTCCTAGCCCCGTTCCCGAGGTCCCGGTAGATTCCCGGGGGTCCCAATGGGTTCTCGGGGGCTCCAGCTCCGTTCCCGGGGTCTCGGGGGTCCCGGTCCATTCCCGGTGTCCCGTTCCGTTCCTGGGGGTCCCGGACCCGTTCCCGGTGTTCCGGGGATCGCGGGGGTCCCGGTCCCATTCCCGGGGGTCCTGTTCCCGCTGTCCCGGAGGTCTCGTTCCCGCTGTCCCGGGGGTCCCTCGGGTTTTCCCCGCCCCTCTCGCGGAGTCCCGGTGCCGGTGTTCTGGGGGTTCCGTTCCCAGTGTCCCGGGGGTTCCGGTCCCGGTGTCCCGGGGATCCCATTCCCGGTGTCCCGGGGGTCCCGGGGTTCCCTCGGGCTTTCCCCGCCCCTCTCGCGGTGTCCCGCTCCCGGTGTCCCGGTAAACACGGCGCGGGTCTCCCCGGTGACGGCGTTCCCCGCCGGTGACGTCACCGCGTCCGGCGTCCCGTGTTTACGTCGCGCGGCAACGGCCGCGGGCGCCATGGCAACGGGGGCGGGGCCTCGGCGGGAGGGGCGGGGCCTCGGCGGGAGGGGCGGGGCCTCGGCGGGAGGGGCGGGGCTTGAGGCGCCGCGTTCCCGCGCTTTCCGCGGGGCGGGGGGACACGGCGGGGACAAAAGGGGACATTGGGGACACTGAGGGGACATTGGGGGACATTTGGGACATTGGGGACATTGGGGACACTGAGGGGACATGGGGGGACATTTGGGACATGGGGGACATTGGGGACACTGAGGGGACATTGGGGGTACATTTGGGACATTGGGGACATTGGGGACACTGAGGGGACATTGGGGGGACAAAAGGGGATACTGGGGGACATTGGGGACACTGGAGGACATTGGGGGGGACATTGGGGACACTGGGGGGACATTTGGGACATTGGGGGGACATTGGGGACACTGGGGGGATATTGGGGGACACAAGGAATGGCAGACCCATGTCGGGGGTCCCTGCGGCCCCCCAGGACACCCTGTCCCCCCCCCGTGTCCCCCCGGTGTCCCCCGGCCACCAGCCCCGTCTGTCACAAGAGTTTTTATTAAAGTCTGACCCCTCCCCCCGCTCTGGGGGTGGGGAAGGACACGGGGGGTGGGGGAGGGGCGTGAGGACCCCTCCCCCCCCCGTGTCGGTGTCACCTCGGGGGTGTCGCTGTCACTGCGGGGTGGCTTTGGCACTCGGGAGCTTGGCCAGGAGCCTGCGGGGACATGGGGACATGGGGACAGCATGGGGACACCCCCGGGACACCCCTGGGACACAGGGACACCCCTGGGGACACCCCCGGGACACCCCTGGGGACACCCCCAAAAAAATGGAGACACCTCCAGGGACACAGGGACACCCATGGGGACACCTTGGGGACACCCCTGGGACATGGGAACAGCATGGGGACACCCCTGGGGACATGGGGACAGCATGGGGACACCCCCGGGACACCCCTGGGACACTGGGACACCCCTGGGGATACCCCCAAAGACACTGGGACACCCCTGGGGACACGGGGACACCTCTGGGGACACCCCCAAAGAAATGGAGACACCTCCAGGGACACAGGGACACCCCTGGAGACACCTTGGGGACACCCCTGGGACATGGGAACAGCATGGGGACACCCCTGGGGACATGGGGACACCCCTGGGGACACCCCCAAAGACACTGGGACACCCCTGGGGACACGGGGACACCCCTGGGGACACCCCCAAAGAAATGGAGACACCTCCAGGGACACAGGGACACCCATGGGGACACCTTGGGGACACCCCTGGGACATGGGGACACCCCTGGGGACACGGGGACACCCCTGGGGACACCCCTGGGGACACGGGGACACCCCTGGGGATACCCCCAAAGACACTGGGACACCCCTGGGGACACGGGGACATCCCTGGGGATACCCCCAAAGACATGGGAACACCTCCAGGGACACAGGGACACCCCTGGAGACACCTTGGGGACACCCCTGGGACATGGGAACAGCATGGGGACACCCCTGGGGACACGGGGACACCCCTGGGGACATGGGGACACCCCTGG